TGCCAGTGTGATGTCTCTACTCTTTACTATTTTACACCAAACTATAGATCCCAGGATTCCATCGCATTGAGCCATGGCAGGTAAAGCCAGGAATTGTGAGAGTTAGAAGTCCAAAACACCTGGAGGGCCCATGTTTGCCCATGCCTGCTCTAGATGCACCATTAGGCACCACTAAGGCCATACTGGAAACCCTGAAGGCCCAGAAAAGGGAGGGGGATGCCTGTGTTTCCCCCTTTAAATCCCTGCTTGTTGTTGTTGTCCTTGGGTTCCCCCTCCCGGCCTCCTCCCGTGTCCAAAGCAGGCCCGCTGCCTGAATGAATGACTCAGGAGAGGCAAGACTGGGCTCATCCGCCTTCTCCTACCTGTAGCCCCGATTGGAGGCCCGCGGGGGGATCCTGTAGACGCTGACGTCGGGCTTCACGCAGAGGATGGACTCGTACTCCACCTCGGCCGCCCCTCCTGCTCCTCCTGCTGCCGCTGCTGCTGCTGTTCCCGCCGCCATCCTCTCAGCTCCCAGTCGGCAGGCAGAAGGCGAGGGAGGACGGGAAGGAGGCGAAGCAGCCACAGCGCACTTCCGACCGCCACCTTTGTTCGGGGCAAGAAGAGCCAGCCGGGAACGAGGCCGCCGGAGTCCTGGCGGCGGCCATCTTGGCCCCTGGCACGCCCTTACGCGCTTACGTCACCGCCGTCGCCATCTCAAAGGCCCCCTACAGTCCCTCAGAGCAGAGGGAAGACTAGCAACCCGGAAGCTGTCTCTTGATAGCGACTCTATTTGGAAGTCGATAGCACTCTACGCTGAGGCAGCCATCTTTGGCTCTGGCAAGTCATGCGTCAATACGTAGGGACGCAATAGAAATAGCCAATCGCGTGGATTAGGGGCGGGATTCTGCTAGAAGTAAACAACGGAAGGAAGCAGAGCGCAGTCTCGCCTCGTCTGCCGAGGCCTCGTTTGTCGCTCACGATCAGAAATTGAATAAAGTCGAATTTGAATCATTTTGGTTGGATGGCCCAACTGTTTCAACAGAACTCCACGCAGGGCATGGATAATCTGTTTACTGAAAACAAATTCAACATAGGGTTGTTGTAGGTTTTTTCGGACTATATGGCCATGTTCTAGATGCATTCTCTCCTGACGTTTCGCCTGCATCTATGGCAAGCATCCTCAGAGGTAGTGAGGTCTGTTGGAACTAGGAAAAGGGATTATATATCTGTGGAATGACCAGGGTGGGACAAAGGACTCTTGTCTGCTGGGGCTAGGTATGAATGTTTCAACTGACCACCTTGATTAGCATTTATTTACTTTATTTGTATACCACTTCTCAGCCCTTAGGCGACTCAGAGCAGTTAACAACACAGTTTCAATGTACATGGTACAAAATCATTGGACATTTAAGCAATAGTAAACAATTAATTAAACAGCAAATATCAATATAACAAATCCGTCACGTCTCATCGATAAAATCAGAATCCAGACTCATTATCCTTATTCCGTGTTCCAATAATTGATTGCACTGTCTAGTGAAATGCCTGTTCGAAAAGCCAGGTCTTCAATTTGATGGCCTGGCAGTGCCAGGGGCAATCTTTTGTTGAGAGGTGATTAGATGTCCCTGCCTGCTTCCTCTCTGTTGTTTTGCTGTTGTAATTTTCGAGTTTTTTTAAATACTGGTAGCCAGATTTTGTTCATTTTCATGGTTTCCTCCTTTCTGATGAAATTGTCGACATGCTATTCACATTTCTGTTGAATTGCCCACAAGGGAACCACTGACCGCATAGGGAAGCTGATGAAGAACCACAACATACAAACTATCTACAGACCTACCAAGAAAATCCAACAAATGCTACGTTCAGCAAAGGACAAGAGGGATCCTCTCACTTCTGCAGGAGTCTACTGGATACCATGCAGCTGTGGACAAGTCTACATAGGGACCACCAAACGCAGCATTGCCCAAACACGAATCAAGGAACATGAAAGGCACTGCAGACTACTCCAAACAGAGAAATCAGCCATAGCAGAGCACCTGATGAACCAACCTGGACACAGCATATTATTTGAGAACACAGAAAGCTGGACCACTCTCACAACCACCATGTCAGACTACACAGAGAAGCCATTGAAATCCACAAGCATGTGGACAATTTCAACAGAAAGGAAGAAACCATGAAAATGAACAAAATCTGGCTACCAGTATTAAAAAACTCAAAAATTACAACAGCAAAACAACAGAGGGGAAACAAACAGGCACATAAAATCACTCTCAACAAGGGATTCCCCCCGGGCACTTCCAAGCCATTAAATGCTAATCAAGGTGATCAGCTGAAACATTCACAGCTAGCCCCAGCAGACAAAAGTCCTTTGTCTCACCCTGGTCATTCCACAGATATATAAACCCATTTTTCCTACTTCCAACAGACCTCACTACCTCTGAGGATGCTTGCCATAGATGCAGGTGAAACGTCAGGAGAAAAATTGCCTCCAGAACATGGCCATATAGCCCGGAAAAACCTACAACAACCCAGGTCATGATACTGTTCTGGTGACCTATTAATAAGGTGATACTTAATAGTCTTCCAGTCCTAAACTGTTTCAGAGCTTGGCAAAATATATAGCTGGGTGGAAAAGGAACCTTTAACAGATGGGCTTCAGTATTGAAGATCTAGCATAAACTGATGCTAGATAATTCTGGGGAAAAGAATGCTATGACTCCATGGAGTCTTTTGCAGATAATTGCAAGAGCTATTGAGAAAATTGTGGGTGGTTCTTCATCCTGGTGGAGCACAACCAACCAGTTATCGATTGCAGAGAAAATCAGTGTCATGAGCTCATATAATAATAATAATAGTAATAGTAATTCTTTATACCCTGCTACCATCTCCCCAAGGGACTCGGTGCGGCTTACATGAGGCCAAGCCCACAGTACATCAATAACAAAAGCAATAACAAAAACAATCAATACAATACAATTAGTATAAATCACATAAACAATAAACAGTAACACACAAGCATTTTAAAACCTATGGTCGGGCCAAATGTAATAGTTTAAAATTTAAAAAATAACGCTGGGCATGAACAAGGTAGGATATAACTGGTATAGGGTTTTCAAAGAGAAATGAGGGAACGCAGTCAAATCAGTGGTAAAGTGAATTGAGGGCATATTGCTGAGAGTTTTCCTTATTCTGGGAAGGCACACTGGAACAACCACGTTTTCAGGCTCCTCCTATGACATTGGAAAGCGAACCATTATAGGGCAGTAATTCTGAAGGTAATTGGGTTGTTGTAGGTTTTTTCGGGCTATATGGCCATGTTCTAGAGGCATTCTTTCCTGACGTTTCGCCTGCATCTATGGCAAGCATCCTCAGAGGTAGTGAGGTCTGTTGGAACTAGGAAAAGGGTTTATATATCTGTGGAATGACCAGGGTGGGACAAAGGACTCTTGTCTGCTGGAGCTAGGTGTGAATGTTTCAACTGACCACCTTGCTTAGCATTTGATTTATTATTTATTTACTTTATTTGTATACCACTCTTCTCAGCCCTTAGGCGACTCAGAGCGGTTAACAACACAGTTTCAATGTACATGGTACAAAATCATTGGACATTTAAGCAATAGTAAACAATTTTTTAAAAATAATTTTTATTGAGTTTTATAGATTACAGCGAAAGTGGGGGAATAATTCAAGAAGATAGGAAAGTGGGAAAATTAAGAAAAATAGTGTCAATAACCCCCATGTGAAAAAAAACCCCTTGAAATAAAAAGAAAATCATAAAGTCAAAAATTAAAAATCAGAAAAAGTTGGACTTCCTTCTGATTCCGCCCATTCAGTCTTTTCTTTAATCCATGTCTTATACTTAGTCCAATTTACCTCATCGTTATGTCCTCAGTACAATTATAAGTCCTTATAATTAGTTTCAATATAATCATCAATTATTGACCAATTGGTCTGTTTGATTGGGTTGCCTGTATTCTTTTTTAATAAAAAAGTTAACTTGTCCATGTCCTTAATTTCATTCAGCTTGTTTATCCAGAGGAGTTTATCTGGTATTTCTTTCAACAATTAATTAAACAGCAAACATCAACATCAATATAACAAATCCATCACGTCTCATTGATAAAATCAGAATCCAGACTCATTATCCTTATTTTGTGTTCTAATAATTTATTGCACTGCCTAGTCAAATGCCTGTTCAAAAAGCTGGGTCTCCAATTTGATGGCCTGGCAGTGCCAGGGGCAATCTTTTGTTGAGAGGTGATTAGATATGCCTGATTGTTTCCTCTCTGTTGTTTTGCTGTTGTAATTTCAGAGTTTTTTTTAATACTGGTAGCCAGATTTTGTTTATTTTCATGGTTTCCTCCTTTCTGTTGAAATTGTCCACATGCTATTCACATTCCTGTTGAATTGTCCGCAAGGGAACCACTGACCGCATAGGGAAGCTGATGAGGAAACACAACATACAAACTATCTACAGACCTACCAAGAAAATCCAACAAATGCTACGTTCAGCAAAGGACAAGAGGGATCCTCTCTTCTGCAGGAGTCTACCGGATACCATGCAGCTGTGGACAAGTCTACATAGGGACCACCAAATGCAGCGCCCAGACACGCATCAAGGAACATGAAAGGCACTGCAGACTAATTCAACCAGAGAAGTCAGCCATAGCAGAGCACCTGATTAACCAACCTGGACACAGCATATTATTTGAGGACACGGAAATGCTGAACCACTCTCACAACCACCATGTCAGTCTACACAGAGAAGCCATTGAAATCCACAAGCATGTGGACAATTTCAACAGAAAGGAGGAAACCATGAAAATGAACAAAATCTGGCTACCAGTATTAAAAAAAATTCTAAAATTAACAGCAAAACAGAGAGGAAACAATCAAGGACATCTAAACACCTCTCAACAAAAGATTGCCCCAGGCACTGCCAGGCCATTAAATGCTAATCAAGGTGGTCAGTTGAAACATTCACACCTAGCTCCAACAGACAAGAGTTCTTTGTCCCACCCTGGTCATTCCACAGATATATAAACCCTTTTCCTAGTTCCAACAGACCTCACTACCTCTGAAGATGCTTGCCATAGATGCAGGCGAAACGTCAGGAGAGAATGCCTCTAGAACATAGCCCGAAAAAACCTACAACAACCCAAAATTCAACATAGTTTGTGGATCCACAAAAAGGAAATTTCTGGAGTCTAACAATAGCTTTCAAAGTAAGTAGTAAAGTACCACACAATTAAACAGGAAATAACACTTGCCAACTAGAAACAGATTTTTCCCCATATTTTGTTACATAGTATTATCTGCTTTAAACTGGATTATATGGCAGTGTAGATCCATCCTCTGGGGAAAATGGAAGGAAAAGGAAGAGGGGCCGACCAAGGGCAAGATGGATGGATGGTATCCTTGAAGTGACTGGCTTGACCTTGAAGGAGCTGGGGGTGGTGACGGCCGACAGGGAGCTCTGGCGTGGGCTGGTCCATGAAGTCACGAAGAGTCGGAAACGACTGAACGAATGAACAACAAGATCCATCCTGGGAGTGCCCTTCCACATAGCCGTATAAACCAGAATATAAAATCAGATAATCCACAATATCAGCTTTGAACTGGATTATATAAGGGCCCACCCAGACAGACCCTATATCCCAGGATCCGATTACAG